GCGATCGCTCCGAGGAAACAGCCAAGGCAGACGATCAGCATGCCACCACCTACAGTGGGGGGTGAAAGAAAATCCACTAGTAGCCAGTTTCGATAGATCAGCCAGGGTAACAAGAAAGGGTAGAGCATACAGCGCAATTATATGGAAACTGCCAGAATGGACGATTGTGGCTGTGGCTACCGAGTTTACCCCTGAATTAACCGTGAATGAAGCGGAATATCGTGGGTTTCTCTTCTGTTTCGATTTGCTTGCCGATCAGGCAAGGAGACGCGTGATCATCTGTGGAGATCCGAATTTGGTGATTCGTCAAATGCGAGGAGAAATCGACTGTAAAGCGCCGAGTTGAAGTTGCTGAAGCATAGGGCAATGGAGAAATTAAGATCATGGCCAACTCACGAGTTTCTGCACATGAAGAGGGACTGGAATCAGAGTGCAGATTGACTGGCGAGTGAGGCTCTACGGCAAAAGAAAGGGACCGTATTTTTTTCCGATCAAGAGCGTCAAGACCTGGTTACTATCAATCGATTAAATGGATTACTACTATCCCAACAAGTCGATTTTCTGGTCGAAGTAACGGCTATCACTCGATCAGCTCAGAGAAGACGTTGTCAGCCCAGAATGTTACAAAAATAGGTGGTGCAGTAGATAGGAATCGGTTTTTTTTAACAAGCACAAGAGGAAGAAAATTGTATTTTTAGTCTGAAGACATATCTAGTTGGAGATATTGCCAAACTATCAGCCGCTGAAGCTAAGGTATGTGTCCTGATCGCGCAGGACTATGAAGTGGACCAAAGTGGGCTGCTGTTTTTCTGTACGAGATCAGCCACCGAAGCTGAAGATCGCATGAACTGGATCGGTTGGTGGTTCCAGACAGCGAGATATCCTGCGTTCTTACCACACGAGTTTGGAGGGTGGTCACTAAGGAGTTGGTCGTACCTATCAGCAAATTAGAGCGAACCTTTATCGGCGTGGGTTGTACCGAAGTGTGCAGCGGTATGTAGGAGAGTGTATAGATTGTGAAACAGGGAAGGGACCACCGAGAAATCGAAGTGTATCGCCTGGTAATGTGCAATCGACATTCCCATTTCAATTCATAGCTATGGACCACATCCCCTCGTTGCCAAGATCGTTTAAAGAAAACAGCGAGCTATTGCTGCGGGTCGATCTGTTCTCGGGATATGTGATAGCAAAGGCAAGCTCGTCCAGATCTGACCAGACAATCGCAAAAAAGAGCAAATCTCATTATCAGGACCACAAATGTCCAAAAGTCCCAAAAGCAGGACTATAGTTTAATCAAGTCTAAAGTTATCTATTTTTTACTTGGGTTGATTATGCAAACTAGCATAGTGTTAACCACATTATACATAACTGCAACATGGGATATGAAACTGCCTGATCACTAATGAGTCTATCCAATTTTTAGACAACTGTCGCGAGTGGTCAAAAAACGCTCTATTTTTACCAACATTCGTTTACTTCTCAATTTGCGCCCACGAGCCGATGTGCCCATTTTGGTTTGGGCACATTGCGTGCGAGCCAGGGCCCGGTCGCACGCACCCGACGGGCTCGTGACTGGTAGACTCCTTTATCGTATTAACTCTCATGAGCAGCGGTAGCAGGTAATTATGCTGTCGATGTTGACTGTGCAGTCTAACGATCGTATGCATTGTCTGTATGTATGTGTTGCAGTGCGTTTTAAGTGATGTCGAGTGATATCAAGTGATGTCTAGTAATGTCCAGTGATGTAAAGTGGCGTCCGGTGATATAGAGCGGCGTCGAGTGGTTTTAAGTAATGTCGAGTGTCCTGCTTAACGATTTTGTGCTGTGTCCGTGTGGATATGTTGCAGTGCGAGGAGTTTGTTTGACTGACTAGGGCGTAATTTCAAGAAAAGTGTAATACATGCGTTATGTATATTCAGAAATTAGTACTGGTCTTAAAAACATTAATCATTAAAAAAAATTGTTCACTACCTCAAACTGTTTATTTTGAATGGTTTGTTTGAGCGTTTAAGCGTTTAAGCGTAAGCGCAAGAAGTGGACTGAAAGAAGTTTTCGAGATGTCTCGAGTGACTGCAGCAATCGAAATTAACACTAATCACGATACTACTGACCTAACCTATTGTAAAACCTTTCGAACTGGCGTTGCTGCAACCGCGTACATAAAGGATCACTGATTTAATCAAAATCGACAGTGCAAGGTCTAATAACTGAGTCCCCCGGTCACGAGCTCGTCGGGTGCATGCGACCGGGCCCTGGCTCGCACGCAATGTGCCCAAACCAAAATGGGCACATCGGCTCGTGGGCGCAAATTGAGAAGTAAACGAATGTTGGTAAAAATAGAGCGTTTTTTGACCACTCGCGACAGTTGTCTAAAAATTGGATAGACTCATTAGTGATCAGGCAGTTTCATATCCCATGTTGCAGTTATGTATAATGTGGTTAACACTATGCTAGTTTGCATAATCAACCCAAGTAAAAAATAGATAACTTTAGACTTGATTAAACTATAGTCCTGCTTTTGGGACTTTTGGACATTTGTGGTCCTGATAATGAGATTTGCTCCGCAAAAAACGACGAGGAGTGTGTGTTCCGACGATTCGGTGCGAGTGAGGCAATACGCCACGATCGTGAGCCAAGATTCATGTCTAATTTCTTCCGAGCATTCAATCGGATCGCAGGACACAAAACGGGCCACTATGGCGTATAGACCGCAAGCTAATGGTACGGACGAACGCATGGTGCAAACGCTAACTAAATCAATAAAGATGTATGACATGGATGAGAATCAGAAGGACTGGGACGAGTTTGTGGAGCGATTGACCTATGCGATTAATACCACCCAAGATCGAATTCGAGGAGATACACCATTCTGCTTGATCCATGAATGGGACCCAAGATCGACCTTAGAAGCTACCTTACCGCTGGGAAGCATTAAATCCCCGGATCGAGATGCCCGAAGATGGAGATATGGTATACAACGCCAATACCAACGTGCTCGGGCGCTTGTGAATGAACGATTGGATGCTCCGATCAGAGGTCGAGCCGATCTGCACAATCAAGATCGAGAATCATTGGATATCGATCGCGGTTCGACGGTTTAGCTCTATCTAGAACGGGTCAAGGAAGGATGTGCTCGAAAGCTAGCTCATATGCGGCATGGACCTTACCGAGTGGCTGAGAAGTGCGGCGATCACGGCGTAAAGCTGGAAATCGCAGGTAGCCGTACCGAATTTTTCCAACAGCCCACTTGTCTATGCTAAAGCTAGTTCGAATATTCCCAGAGCGCCCAACAGGTGAGCTGAATGTGGACGAGGCGAGTCAGTTTGATTTTGACGGAGCGTTACTGCCAGACGACAGCTGGGGGGTGACCCTGACGCGTATAAGTTTGAAGTGGAAAAGATCATTGATGAGCGGTCGGGACGAAAGACGAGATATGGACGAATACTTAAACAGTACCTAGTGCAATGAAAGGAGTACAGCGACCCAACCTGGATCGATGAAGCTGATCTAAATTGTAGAGCTGTGATACAAGAGTTTGATCGCGATCGGGTGAGCTGGAATCGTCTTGAGATAATGCAATTGCACGAAGAAGAAGTCGGAGAATAGCAACGATCGAAGAGCTTAATTGGATGGGTTTAATGCAAAGGAAGTGCATGAACAAGGGGGAGAGTTATTGGTGCTGTGGAATCGTTGCTAGCGGTGGAAAACTTGGTACGTCAGGTGGGCCCGGGCGCAAATTCTAACCACGTCGGAACCCTCCATGCTTGTGACGACGGGTCTAAGTGGAACTAAAGAGTGGATCAGACAACTGGCGAAATGCACTATTACACCAGCACGAATGCCGGTTATCAGCGCAGGGGACGGCTGTGCTGGAGCGATTTTGGAAGAAAGTGTGATCGATAAAGGTTAGTGATCCTCAACGGCGACAAATCGTTGAGAGGGACTGACTGGCTGGTAAAAGGCACAAAACTAAGATCGAATATCACAGTATCTAGATCAAATATCACGATACCGAGAGCGAACATCGCAATACCGCAACTAAATATCACGACAGCGGGATCGTGCCAAGTTACCAAGACCAAGCCAAGGTACCGAGATTGAGGAAGTATAAGATGTTCAAGGTCGGGAATATGGCTGACAGATCGGCAGAGATCAAGATCCTGGAAGGAGATCGACAGCCGGTCGAAGAGGTCGAGATCGATCAAGAAGAAAAATTGATCCAGGAGATCGACCATCGAGAAGATTAACGAAAGGACAGATCAGCGATCGGGCAGATCAGGGATCGGCCAAGGAGATCGACGATTAGTGATAGGCCAAGAAGATCGACGATTAGCGATCGGCCAAAGAGATCGGCGATCGGCGATCGGTCGAAGATATAGTCGATCGATCGAAGAGAGCGCATTCGGGGAGAATGGCGACCGAAGGGATCGGCGATCTGTCTGAAGTGGACCACACATGCGAATATCAACACCGAAAGATAGAGGACACATGGCAGAACATCCTAGCATATAGACATGCATGGTCACAGTCTTAGATTTTGGCTGGTTGACATTAAACATAATTCTATATGCTTCTAAGTACACGCGTCGACTTCTCTTCCGGGCTGGAATATTGGCCTTTCGACGTAAAGAAAGTCACGCATACTAATACCAGGTGATATCCCCAGATCGTTGGCTGGGGATCAAGGATTCTCATCCACCCCATCTGCGATCGGACGCAGCAAGAACGAAAAGGACAAGGCGATCTTTTTAAGATCTGGGTGACTTACATCAAACACCCTACAAGTACCCCGTGATAGCGCGAAGATTTCCACCCGATCACACCAACCCATTCCAAAAACGGTCAAGTTTTTTATCGACACGAGTCCACCAAGAAGAGTGCAGCCCGCCCTACCGACGGGTACACAAAGTGAGAAAGGAATTACAAGACACGGAAACAGAGTACCCCTTCCGATAGTCGGTCTTCTTGGCACCAGTGGAGATCCGGGATCGTCTCATAAAATGAGCGATCGCCACTTCACCACAGTGGTTCGTGTGCCCGGATCTTCTGGTGACTCGGGATTTCACCGTGAGGCCCTGAGTGAAGATGAGAAGGTCAAGATTGAACCTGGAATGGAGGCGTGAGAGGCAGGGGGATCGCCAAGGACGCGTGATTTTGAAGGTCCCCAGATCGTCAGAGTTTGATGAGGGGCTCTGATGACAAAAAAAAGAAAGAGTCTGATCGATCTTACGATCTGGAAGATGTGTCTCAACCCTCTCCTTGGGTCCCTTCGGGAACCACCGCGGATCGAGCTGCAAAACACGATCCGCTGGGTGAATTACCTTCATCGAAGACTGAACAAAACTACACAAGACAACTCAGGCAATGTCGAAGAAGAAGATTGGGAAGACAGATCAAGAGAAGAAAGACGAGTCCGGATCGGATCAACACGATCGCAGCGCAAATCGATCGAGCGACCGATCAAATCGTGGATGATGCTCTGGATAGGAAGGTAGAAGGCTGGCAGTTGGATCGATTGGCGCAGGGATATCACTTGAAGGCGCTAAAGAAATTGCTATCGAATGACTCAGTGCTCAAGATAATGAAGCCCAAGCGGATCGGAGAAATTCAAGGTCCGATATCCTCACCGAAGGCGACAACGAACCCGCTGGATGGAATCATTAAGCTACTGCATGAGTTGAATACATCGCTGGGGTGCTCGATGTGAACAAGCTGCTACAGTGCGATCAAGATCAAGTATTCCACGCGTGTCAATCGCTGCATGACAAGTTTGATTCCCCTGACGGGGAGGTGCGAACCCACACATTAAGATATCAATGCGATCGCCGACGTCCCAAGGGGATTCCATTCCGTATCGTCTTAGCATGACTCGGCGGAATCCGAGATAGAATCGGAATATTCAGTCGGTATTCAGAGGATGTCTCTAGGCCCAAGTGGGGTAGCACATCTGCGTGATTTGATTGAGAGGATCAAGGTTGAACCGAGATCGACGATCATCGGCGCAAAAGGAAAAATGACGCCACCGATGCAAGGAAACCTTCAGAGCTACCACAAGGGGGTCATGGAACGATATCAACAAGATCGGCGGAAACTGGCACATCAAGCGATCTCCCCAGGTCAAAGGATCAAGCCTGTTAAACTAAAAAAGCTCGCCAGGTTTCAATCTGGCATGAGCCGAGCGTTCTAGGCTCTGCGTTTATGCGTTTGGTTAAGGTCCGCGGAGAGATCAAGATGTTGACGATCGGATCTGTCCAATCGCTAATATGCATAATGATTCTACATTAGTCTTGCCCATATAAAGTTTGAAAAGAGTGGATGATTAAGCTCTATCGCCGGTGAGGATGGAGATCGACCTCGTACCAGGGGAATCGTGCGGGTATTGGAAATACCACAACCCTGGAAAATGGTTCAAGCAAGCTAAGGCATTTGGCAAGATCGAAAAAGAGAAACCATATTGCTGTTCGACTCTGTCGCTGAACTGTCGATCCTCGATACCACCTTTCTCGTAAGGTAGGATGTGTGATCGACAGCAGTCGAACGCAAGAGTGTGTCGAAATTGGAGAGAATACGTATTTGACGATGGGGCGGACTAAAATCAAGATCACTCTGGACGGATCGTTAGTTTATTATTTCGATGTTTAAGTGGGCGATCAAGTGGGCCCAGGGGTTATATTGAATTTGGATTCCATGGTTCCAGCGGGTATGCGTTTAGACTTAGCTGACGGGACATTATGTCTTCCGATCGAGGTGCGGATTGTCCAAGCTAGGCGAAAACCGCCTTACCGATCAAAAATGCAGGCGATCAACCTAAATGATCAACATGTGGTCATACCGGTTGGCAAAATGAATGAGGTCCATGTTGGGGTTGGGTCACCTAAGGCTAAGATTTGGGAGAGGCGGGGATTGTAACGGGGCACCCTGAAGCTTGTACTGGTGACAGTACAAGCTACTTATTCTGATGACAGAATAAGGCGGTGCCTCGAAACTTCACGTACACTCGTACGTGCAGAGGAAGACGGTAAGAAGAAGCGAGTACTTAGTTTGAGTAAAAAGTAGAACTGTATTCAGCATGGTTAATGTCTGCAGTAAATCACAATTTATCTTCATCTAACTATGTCTGAATACAAATGTGTAAATCAGTTATCTGCTCACCACTCATTGCGTGCGTCTGTCATGGCGCGTCTTCGTTGGTTGATATAAATATAATGGTCTACATCAACCAATTAGGAACTACTCATAAGTGCTACAGAACATTTGTCCTCTTGACAATATTCTGAGAATCTAACTCTTATAGTTATATTCTAAGAACCATTCTTATAAATTTTTATGTAACGATTCACCCCGTTACATCACCTCCCCTTAACCATCAGTCACTTTAGTGACTGATTGACTAAATGGATACTCGTCCCAAATCATTTGGGACAGGGTTTGCGCTTGTTGGTCCGAGTCCACTTTCCAACAGTTCATCGCATGGTTAACAAGCCCATGCGGTGCGCGAGCAAGGACGCCGAGAGCGCGTCCGCACGTCTCTGTGCGGACGCCGAAGCAGAAACCACAGCAACTGATGTCTCATCGGTTGCTGAAGCGACTCAGCCTGTGTCACTTGGTGATGCAGGCGCTGGTCATGAAGACACTCATGTCTTCACAGATTATGATCTCGGTGTCTCATACTCTCCTGATACGGAAGAGGGATCTGTATCGACGGCGATCGAATCCAAGCCGCCTGCCAAGCGTGGCATGGATGATGCTACACGTCGTAGCATCTTTGGTTCATTTGATGATTCATATGAACCATCGCCAAAGCGAAGGCGCTCGAGGTCACGATACTCGGGCGCTCACAGTGGTGTCGGTTCTCCAATGGACATCACTTCACAGCGAGGTGCCAGTACTTCTGTCGGCACGTCGCAGGAAGAGCGGGACCGCAATGTGTTGCGTCTCGCTCCAGAAAAGAAGGCATGGATGCCTCCTAAATCCGTCATGGATCACTTGTCGGCGACGACGAGTGATCGTTATCGAACACGATTGTCCGATTCGTCAAGGATCCATCACCTTGACCCCAGTGCGAAAGACTATCACACTGAACACGAATTCTTCATCGATGCTTTCTTTAAACATCGATGGTACAGTGGGAATCACAAACGTGATGGTCCCTCACTACTTCAAGCGTGGAACGCCTACATCCGTAACCTTGAGGATGTAGGTCGTGACGCTTCGAGCGACAAACTTATCAAAGCTCGTGATAAGTTTGAAAAGCGAACCCCGACAGGTGCACGCTACAAGCTGCATCGCCTGTCTAGGGAGGAAGGGTTACCCTACCTCTCTTGGGGAGACTTTTGCCCATGTTGTGTGAACAACTCTGCACGAGCACCTAAGGAGGCTTACCTCCTTACCAGCCCGTGGTGGCGCGTACGTGTCTCTACTGAGTTGTACGAAGGGTTTGACAACCTGAAATCCCTTTACGACCGTGCCGAATAGACTTTCTCCGGCGGTCCTTCTGCGGAACAGGATGTGCCGCGTCGTACTGCTCGACCAGACCCAGTACGTCAACCATCAGTTGGGAGCGGGGCTCCCAAGTATCCCAGGACGGGGGATAACCGCGCCACCGGACGAGGTAACTCGTCCGAAGTCCGTTTACGTCGCGGTGGTTTAACAGCTGCTCAACCAGATAGCGCTGGCCACCGCGAGAGTCCTCTAATGGAGGTGAAGGAGGAGGGAACACGCTCTATAAACTATCGTCGGGATCCGTGTGTTCCCGAAAGCTTCTTTGATCGCGTAACGCAAGGGTTACGCGGCGATCTCGAACATGAGCGGGACAGGCGTCTCCAAATGGCGGACACTGTCTTGAAGCATCGAGCTGAGTTTTCCTTTGCTCAGCTTGAGAACGAGAGAGCTTTGACATCTCTTCGTGACGAGCTAAGGGTAGCTCGTGGGATTGTTGATTGGTCTCGGGATGAGATAAATGCTCTCCAGACCCTTGTCGATGCCCATCATCGGGAGCGCAAGGCTCTCTGCGAGATGCTTGAGCGCAAGGGCGTTCTTCATCGGAAGAAGCAGCGTACTGATGGTACAGCTTAAGCCGACCAACGTAAAACGTGGGATGCGTTCGCATCTTACGTGGCAACTCGATCGTGCATGCATTGCCTAGGCGGTGCAATACACGAAATGGGCCGATGTACTTGGGTAGTAGTAAACTACTACCCAAGTCAGTCACTACGTGCTTTGGTAGATCAACCGTAGACAGTAGGACTAAGTCACCTGTATTAAATGAAAGAGTGTTTGCCCTTCCATTCTTGTCAGCGTTTTGCTTTTGCTTATCCACCGCTTCGGCGATGGAGTCTTGCACAAAACGGACTACCGTTTCACGAGCTGCTTATCCACCGCTTCGGCGATGGAGTCTTGCACAAAACGGACTACCGTTTCACGAGCCAGTATGAACCCATCTGATGACTCGTTAGCTTCAGTGTGCTGTGAGCGCACTGCAGCAACATTAAACTTTTCTTCAGTGAGGGCTTCCGCACTCTCACTGGGATCATTGTCTTCAGTGAGGGCTTCCGCGCTCTCACTGGCATCATCTTCTTCGATATCGATGTTATCGATGTCGGCATCAAACGCAGTGACCTCTTCGTCAGAGCGTGATGAGCGTGAACCAAATCGGTTTTTGCTCGCGCGAGTCCCTCCCCCCCTTAAACCAGAGTTACACTCTAGTAAGGTGAGTACACGCGGATGGCGTAAGCCATTCACGTAAAACGGTGCATGTGTCGTGGACGCATGCACCGAGTTGTTAATGGCAAACTCTACCATTGGCAGAAATTCGCGCCAACTGTTAAAGGAGTGTACGTATCCTCGAAGTATCTCTTCGAGGACACGATTGGCACGTTCGGTCTGACCATCTGACTCTGGATGATCAGATGTCGACATCTTCAAGCGCGTTCCGAGTGATTTGAACACGGAACGCCAGAAATCAGCAGTGAAGCGTGGATCTCTGTCTGATACGAGTTCACGGGGCAACCCATGAAGACGGAAGATGGTGTCAATAAAGACACAAGCACAGCCACTTGCCGTGATTGACTCTGGTACAGCCACAAGGTGTACCATTTTGCTGAATCTGTCAACAAATACGAGA